AATAGGTTTGAAAACCTTTTTAGTAGTGCTTGAAGGCATCGGTTTTGGGTTGTTAAATAATTTCTTCTTTAGCAATCTCTCAGTCCATGTTGATCTCAGGTTTTCTTCAGTGTGGAGAATGAATCAGGTGTTCCAGCATCTTCCATGTTAGGTGTATTCCTAATCTTCCCAAAATGTCAGATTGTTGAAACCTGGACTAAGTTAAGGCAGGTTAAGGCTTACAATGGAACAATAAGCCATGCTACATATCAGCTGACCTTCTAATGGTCAAAGAAAGCTGACATTAATCTTCAAAAATGGTTGAAAGCAAGAAACTAATGCGTTCATTGAAGCCCTTTTAATTTTGATAAGGATAATTGTCAAATATCCAGCCAGATTTAGGGAATATTATAGTAAGTAGCTGAACCTAATGGTTCTCTGCAACTTGCTATCATACATTTCCTAAACTTGAATTGGGTTAGTTGTAAATATTAAGCCTTGAGTATAAATGTGACTCTGTGGGGATTAGAGAAAATATACAGTAAAATTAGCTCTTAACCTAAATCTTCCTTTTAATAAATCATGAAGCTTTTGCTTTATACTTGGTCTTCCTGATAAATTTTTACTTTTATATGCATCTGCTCAAATTATTATGAAATCTATGACAGAGATAAATGTGCAGGTTCTATCTTTCTTCCAACACAAGATGGATGACATTGGTGAAGCAAAAAGAAGGGCAAAGCATGGGAGAAAGAGGGGGAGGGAGATATATATTGTGCAGGCTGATGGACAGCAGTGCAGTTCAAGCTTGTGAGAACCATAGACCTGAAACCAACTAAACAATGTGTCTGAATCAGCAGGTAAACGATTTTCTCCTAACATCACAGATGCTGGCACCCATAAATGTGCACATACTGCATGCTAGTTAAATTGCCAAATTTTCCATGTAGATTAAACCCTTTCTCTTGATGCGGCAGCGCTCAGAACAAGCCAATGTGCTGCAGAGGACATGTGGTCCAAGCGTAATCCCCTGTTCTATTTTACCAGCAGCTTCACTCCTCAAATCCAAACATAATTTTCAGCTTGGGCACTACACACAAATGCCCTCTGCACTGGAATCAGGCAAGTCCCTGAGCCATTTTTTTTTCCCATCCTGACCTATTTTTATAGTAAGATTATAGCAACTGTCATTTTTTCCATGTCTCTTTATTAATCCCCAGAGCTAAGCCCAAAGGCAACGTTTCAGCACTTACTTAACAGTTTGCTTGTTCTTACCTTCAATTATACAGCATTTTGTCAGGTCAATGCATAGTTGTTTTTTTATAAATATGCAACCTTAAATGCTTTATTAAGACTGCATGGTCTGGGAGTCTGAAATAAAACCAAATATAAAAAAGGTGATCATTTCACTTACATAAGCCTTTGTAGCTCCTGCTAACCTTGGATTAATGCAGCTTTTCTTTAAATGGGAAAGCCCAAAGGTATTCAGAGTCTTCAAAATCTAACAACCCAGCAGTTAATTCGCCAAATCAGTTATAATTACCAGTCCCTTGGTATATTTATAGAGTAAAAGAAAGCATGTTGCTTTGG